CACTAAACCCAAGACGTCTTCCCCCATGCAAAAGTAATTAGGATAAAATGTCATAGCAAAGAAATCTTGAGTTTATTAAGAGAGTGCATACTGAATTGTTTTGAGTGCTGGAATGCATCATTACATTTACTGAAAAAGCCAGCAGTCCCATTTCACCACCTGGCCCTCAGCTGCCCCCTCAGAGCTCACATCATCCAAAACAAGCAACAGCAATCTCCCCTTTCGGACTGAAGCAAAGGAAACCCCTTGTCGGATGCACAAGTGGAAGGAAATGGCTAATGTATAGGTTCAGGGCTCAGGGGGAATCCATTTCTTGGGAGGAGGGAAGAATGCAGAGAGCTTGAACAAGTGAGTGTTTGTGTCAGGCCGGTCGCTGTTTGGCTGATGGAACACAGACAACACACTGAGGAGTTTGTGTGCGATGAGGACGGAGAGTGAAAGATAGACACAAGGAGATCTTAAGAGAGACAGAAACTCAGCCAGTGAGACACAAACCCTGGAGATATGTATCCATGACGCACGTCCCCAGACTACTCTGAGTTAACTAGAGCGTATAAAAAACAGTTTATTATCATACTGCTACATTAATATCCAGAGCGAGGCAAAAATCTTACACAGATGGACCTGGATGTTTATCTTAGTTCACTTGATGCCAGCACAAAATATCAAGTGCCACTAACAGGCTAACAGAATTAGCATTGCGATCACGATATATAAACTTAAGAAACAATCCATTTTAATTAAATGAAATAGGTTGTTAAAGTTAAGAGATGCTGAGTTATATTTCTAGCTTCTCTTCTGTAATGCTAAAGTTGTCTCATTTACATGATGGAAGAGGATGCTACAGAGCTTGGGGTCAATACGCCCATTTAGAAATACTGCTTGTTTTTCTTGAAAACATAAGGTATGGTTGCTACTCTGGGTTTAACCAAAATGTAAAAATATCCATTAGTAGATTGAAGAATAACTTTCTCATCCACATTGTATAAGAAAGAGCCCATTTTCACCAGTGGCCCCTGATTATACTTCTTGGTAAAAAGTGTAAAGAAAGACCAATGTACCATATGTTCCTGTTTTCGACTTCTTTAATGATTTAAAAACATGTATACCCTGACCTTGGGTACAGAAATACAGTATCTTGGATGAAAAAGTTTCAATAACAACTTTTACACACAACAACTATGATAAAGGTGTTGGTTATTTCAGGCACTTGGAACCACATACAGTCTTTGTTTTTCATGCTACACAAGAAAGTACTTCTTTGGTCCTTTTTCCCTCTCACCTAGGCAGGTCAGCTGTAACCACAGACAGAAAAAAAACTGCCTTCTGTTTTTTTTTTGTTTTTTTTTTAACAAAGTTATTTACATTTCGTATAAGACCCAAAACAAGCCTCCATCAGACAAGAAACAGAACTAGCACAGTTCCTTTGTCAACCCTTCATGATTTTCCATACATGTCCACATAGGTTATGACAGGACAACAGAATAAAAAGATATAAAGGCTCGATTTAGTTTTTTTTTTTTTTTGTTTTTTTTTACAGCAGTTTCAATCAACATAACTTAGTGGAATGATTTTGATATAAGATTTGGCATAAAAAGGTACACTGGTTCCTTTTTGTCCACCTTGGGCCTCCATCCAAAAAAGCCACAATGCTACAGAGGTACTGAGCGTTCAAATGAGAGCTCAGTGAACATCAATGTAAGGACAAAATGGAAAGCTCTCCGGACGTCCTTAAAGTCAATGCTCAGCTGCAAGGTAGCCACGTTTGATAAGTGTTCCTGCATGCAGTCATTGGTGACTGAACTTGTGCCACATAGTAATTGCTGAAGTTGACGTCTCTGACATATGGAGCGGGCTGGTAGTAGCAGGTGATGTTGGCCAGCGCAGGGATAGCATTCTGTTCAGCCATTACACGCAATGCCAGAGCGGAAATAAGTGCCAAAGTCTGTCTGCGCTCGTGGCCCATCAGGCACACGGTGCTCTCGTCCACCACTCTCCTCAGCGTTATCAGGTACTCGTAGCGCTTGTGCTCCATGCCGGCAAAGTGGTTCTGCAGATACCCCTCCAGTTTTCTTTGCTGCTCGCCTATGTCGGGGAAGTCGATGAAGAATCGCGAGCACATGTAGCGCTGCATCTGTTTTATCAGAGTTTCACAGGAAGGCCTGAAGCCCCGCACCATCAGGTGACAGTACTTGAGCAGCCCGCCGCCTCGGATCTCTTCTGGGCTGCGGGTGGCGATAGTCCTGGAGCGAAGATGACCCAGAGCTTCCTCAAAGTCTCCGTACATGCTCTCCCCCTGCACTGTAGGGTGGAAGGTCTCAGACATGGCCGTCTCTGAGCAGCGGTCGAAAAGCAGCAGCGAGTCAAGAGTGATCTGGAAGGAGTCTACACTGAACTCAAACTGCCTCCTCAGGGAGTCCACAAACTTCAGTTCCACATTCTTGCCTGTGTTGTTTGACAGCGAGATGAGGCTCCAACGGTCCGTGTCATTGCAAACTTTCACCAGTTTCTGCACGTATGCTTCCTTGAGGGCGAGGGCTGTTATCCGTTCCCTGCACACCCCTTCAGGCAAGAAGTCCACCAGGCAGTCCAGCACCACGTCCTTCACCAGCCGGAAGGTTCTGTCATCAGTGAGACTCAGGCCAAAGATCAAGTCCAGGTCTTTGTAGCCAAGGCCGTTGTCCTGGTTAAGCACATGGCTGGCCGCTGATCCGTTCAGCTTGACGTCACGTACCACCACGCCGTGCTCCTCCAGTCGAGCCCTGACCACCTGAAAGACAAAGACACAGGGGAAAGAGTGAGTGATGGATATCTGCAAAACAGATAACAGAAAACGCGAGTTTGTACATGCAAAAAACTCCTCTCCAAACTTATTTAAAAAGAAGCTGAGGTGCTGTCATGTGAACATGATACAGCATGATTGAAAAATTCCATATTAATGAAAGCACTGAAACAGAATGCATAATGAGACCTGAACAAATGTAATTATATTCCATTAGTGAATGCAATAACTGTACTGGGTATTTGACTGACTCAGTCTAAGGATAGAACAAAGAAAGCTTAAAATAAGGGTCTAAAAACACCTGATTAGTACAAATGGAAATTAAAAAAAACGGCCTGTCATGGCAATACTCATTGATTTTTTTACACACGTCTGGATGTAAATGATAAACCAGAAAGTGCCACAAATTCCAAGTAGTTTAAAAATAAAGTATACTTTCTGATAAATGTTTTAATAAGTTATAAGTACATGTATTGACAGGTTGCCCCTTGAGATTAATCATCTTCTTTTTGAGGGGCTTGATTTAAAGTTGAAAATATAAGAAATCAGTGTACAGTAAACACTAAGAAGGATTTAACCATTTATGCACTAAAGCTTGGATGCAGAGTCTGGGAAAGTCAGTGATGAATTCCTGAATCTTGCAAACTCAGAAATCCTCTCATCAATTAGACGCAGGTGTACCCCTTTATACCTGAAGCTCAGGCAATATCAGAACAGACGAGCTGTAAAAAATTACAAGCCAGTGCTTGTCTGATGAAAGGGCCCCTGACTGTTAAAGGACAACAGGTAACCTGTGAGTTTTAAACTTTTGGCCTGTGTTCATGGTAAGAAAAGCGATCTTTTTGCTGGCATGTAAATACTCTTTGGATTGAAATAAAAAAGATTTATCAGGTAATTGGAATATCACCATGCTGCTCTGTTGCTGAGATGTTTGGGAAAACTGCTGCGCTACAGACAGCTCTGATGTTTATGCTTCCTGTCTGTTGCATCGCTTAAAGAAAGAAAAGCAACAAAACACGGCCACTTGGGAAGAAATAAAAAACACAGCTGGTATGACCGTTTGGCTCAGTGAGAGTTTTCTTACAGATAGCCATCAGTCAGAGAGGTCAAACATCTATTCAGGCCGATATTCTTATAAAGATCACTTTTAGTGGCTGGTACACTGACTGCCATAATTCTAGTGTATGCTTAATCAAATGGTTCCCTTCTATTGAAGGTTCATATGACTTCTTACACAACTCAATGATTTCAAATTAAGACAACTGCTTCATCTGACTTCAGTTTTATTTTTATTTTCTTGTGGTCATTATTTGAGCAAGAGAAGCGCTGAGTGAAGCCAAGGAAAAACAAAAGAAGATTAAGGGAAGTAAGATAAGAAGGGTATTTTCCATGATGCGGATCCTTTTCCTTTATTTTGACTATCCTTATTGTACTGTAACCTTATCTTGTTCTTCTTTTTTGTGACCAACAATGCTCCGTTTGAGTGAAATGTCACAGGTTATAGTTCAGATAAGAGTTCCTGATGTCAAATGAAAGTCTTCATTATTTCTTACTGGCTTTATTTGCACAGGAGACTTTGCTGCATCATTTAGTAAAATGTAAAACAAAAAAAGGGTACAAATTAATTGCTGAAAGGCTTTTTTTTCCTTTTTTTTTTACTGAAAGCCCAGCTGCCTGTTTCCTTCTGCTTTCATTGTTGGTGCTAAAGCTAAAACCCCAGATTTGGATCCTTTACTTTAACCCCTAAAGAAATGCTCGAGAAGAGGACCATTTTGATTAAAGACATTGAATTGATCCCTGTGGCTATGTCCAACTTGCTGTGGTCTCTTACTAGCATTTAAATATCGAGGGTTGAAATATTAGAGGTGAAAATCCAGGAGTAGTGTAAGAAGGGCAAGGAAAAAAAAAGGTGTGCCGATCATGTGATGCTAACATGCTAGTTAGCTTATACCAAAGTCCTGCCCTTCCTTATCTTGCAGCATCTATGTTTCAAAGAGAGTATAAAGATATTTCCCAAACTTGTCCAAATAATCTTTTTAAGGGAAAGATTAAAAAGGCATATTTCAATGCATACAAAAAGAGAATAGGTTTGACTACAAAAAGAATTCAACTTTTCTGTCACCAAAACATTAATTAGTTAGCAAACTAAATCATTCATATTTTAAAAGATTTATTCAATGCAGAGTCTGGTGTATAAGGAGTGGAGTGAAGGTCCCTGTGAAGGTTTTCACAGGGAAAAGGACAACACATGGAGACAAGAGGATTCTTTTAACTATCCAGCAAGGGAAACCCACAGAAGTATTTGCTCTGACCTCACACTTAAACAGTTGGTTTGAGTTAACAGCACGCCATAATCTGCCCGTCTGAGGGTCCCGAAAGGAGTACGTGAGGAAGCCCAGCTCTGCTGCCCTCCCATCCGCCGTCCTTCAACACTCAGAAAACAGGCTCATACATTTCCCACATGACGCACCAGCACCTGGTGAGTCAAACGAAGGGAGACACTTCCGCCTAAAGACTTGTAAAAAAAAAAAAAAAGAGCCGCAAACACACCCGACTGTCTGGTGTTGACAACGCCTTGGCGACACATAGCAGTCTCTCCACTTTCCTTCTCAAGTCTCGAATGTTTCCTTGACTATTTAAATTAAGCTGCGGCCTGAATGTGTTTTTATTATGGCAGTCTGAAATGACCCAGCCATTTACCAGCCCATAGTGCCCTGGACGCCTGTGAGAGCTTTGGGCAGTGAGTCAGACGATCCCTTTGCCAATGGAACTGGCGACAATGAATAAGGAGTTATGAGTCCCTGACCTTAACAAATTCATTCCAAAACGAACCCAGCCAGTCAGTCGTACAGTAGCTTGGCAGCCAGCGGGGGATGATGATGATTTTTCCTCTGTTTTGAAAATCTGCCTTGAGTTTCCTATGCACGGGTGATCATGTCACCTGTATATTCAAACCAGAGTGAGACACAGGCTTAAGCACGATGCCATCACTCCACAATAAAAGGGCCTTTTCAGTGCCTGTAGGGTTCCAAGAAATTTGAAAACTTTACCTGATTGGACTCTTTCCAGGGAATTCAATCTGAGGAGACATCTGTTTCGTTTTTTGAGCAAGCAATGTTAGATAAAACTGGTGAGAGTCTATGTGAAGAAAAGTACACCCTGGAACTGTGATTGGATCTTTTGATCAAATACTTGGGTCAAGTTTGTTTGCTAAGTGGCCCAGAAATCAGCTCATGCTTCCTTTAGATACAGTTACTTATATGTGATAGTCCTTTACACTCGGTCTGTTAATGTTGGTTTTACACACAAAAAAAAAAAATGGGCTGACTCATACTTAATCCAGGATGTTTCAGGCCTAGCTCACACTCAGAGATTTTTTTAAATGTAAAAGATAACCCATATGACGATGTTATCACCTTTCTAACAGTTTTGTTCCTAATGTGTGTGAAGTGCAAAAATATGAGCAAAACAGATTCCAGTCTGTTTCCAATTCCAATTGACTATCAATTCTGATAGTCTTCCTATAAGAGAAATTGTGATGAGTTTTTGGACTACTTTTAACTGAAAGTACACGACATAAAAGTAAAACTATGGATAAAGAGGTAGAGACGGGGGTGAACATGGGCTGTAAATGTTACAGTGCGAGCTGGAGGTGAGGAAAATTTGATTTGCTGCGGTTGTTGTCCTTCTTTTGGTCAGCTTGCTTTCCAATAGGCTATCGTTTCATCCATGTTACAATCCTCATTGTCTACATGTACAGTAGATGATATTCAGCCGGCCTGCCCAGGTACATTTATGGCCGCCCATATTTCAAAACTTTTTTTTAAATTTATGTTTTACTTATTGATAAAATTGCCGACCATACGATAGAGAGAAAGAGCAATCCTGCTCGTTGACTTTCCTCAATGAGAGCTTTTATTACTTCCTAGGGGACCACAAAAAGTGACTTAAAGTTTGTTTGAAGTAAATGTGAGTGCTTATTGGTATTCAAGTAAAAAAAAATGCTAACATTGAAAATCATCCAAAGAGATATTTTCTGCACTACCTTAATGGTTTGATACTTGAGAAGCAAAAAAAATAAATAATAACCTTTGAATTGAAATCCAAAACATGCAAACTACCTGCCAGATAAAAATCATTACAGACAGGTCTTAATTGAATGTTCTGAAGCCGTTTTCTCTGGGGAGCCTTGGGAGCATGTGGCGCCTTCATGTTGCTCCTGCTCAACAATAGCCCAGTGAGGATTTGGTTTACAGCCTGGCGAGGGCCGCAGTGAAGTCAGGCAACTGGTCTTCACTTACCACAGTGATACGTTGTCAAGCTGACTCACAAGCCCAGTGTTATTACGGGCACTAATCCATTCCTCACATTGTACTTCAGGTCCAGGCCACTCTGTACTACTCCCAGTCTTTAAGCAGAAAAAAAAAGTGATGGGACCTATCTCAAACATCTACAGACACAACAACTTAAGTGAAAATATGATGGGAACAAGATACAACCCTCTTAAGGGCCAACAAAAACCACCGAGGCCTCCCTAGCTACGCCCTCACACATAAACACACTCGACACATTACGACACACAAATGAGATATCTGCGTTGATCATCATGTGGTATGAAGCTTCTGTAAGGCTCTCTGGGAACATGTAAGGAGCAAATATTCAGACTGTGGGTTGATGTCCGTCAACCGTAAATGAAAAGGAGAGTACAGGGGTGTCAGTAACAGTCAAAGTATTCCTTCAGTGCTCCCGTGGCTCGCTCGCAACCAGACCACAAACAGATGTTATTTAAATGTGGCCCTCAGACAAACCCACCATTGAGAGGGGCTCCTCTGACTCTGAGGGAGTGCGATCCATTGGTCACATTACCTAGTCTCTACAATCCTCTGATCTGTTTCTCTCAGGTAGACAGCTCGGTCTGGGTTCATAGGCTCAGAAATGATATTAAAAGTAGCACACTGGTGGTTTAGCATTCTTTAGCCCATTTAGCAGGGAGACCCCACATTACTGTCAAACCATTTTCCAAAACATATCACTGTGGTTTAGATCTTTGAGTGTGTTTTTCCTTTCTTACAGTCAGCCACTGGTTTCCATTCCTGCCCAGATGGTATTAAAATCATCCAGCAGAGACTTCAAATCTGCGTGACATATTCCATGAAGGGGAACATGGCGTCTGCTTTTAAATTGTCAAAACACTGGCATCCCTGAGAGATGATTCATTGCAGATTTGTGAAATCTGTTTATACATGCTATCTGTTTACAGGGCTAAGCACTCAGCCTTTTTTTTTTTTAACAAGACATGTTAGCAAAGGTGCCAAACAAAGCTGTCTGTACAGGGAAATAAATATCTTTGTAATATAATTGACAACTGGTGTCACTGCAAAACTAGTGTTTCAAAGTTAAACCGTGTTAACACCCCTTATGCCTACACATCAAACCTTTAGAAAGACTCTCACATCTGAAGACGTGGTGGTCAAATACTTCAATGGTGCTTTCACACTTGGACAAAACTTCTGAAAATTTCCTGAAGTTTTTCGGGAGCTGTGACGTGTGAATGTGCCCAGCCAAGAATTTTAACTCCAACTTCATCGACATTACTTTGAGTTTTTTTTCTGCCAGCCCCCTAGCAAATTTACCGCTTGATTTTAGGGTGAGCCGATGTGAGCACACAGCAGGAAATATTAAGGAAAACTCTACATGAGCGAGCAGGACGGGGATGGTGGTGTTTACATCCTGCAATCGGCACTGCACGCGCTCGACCGGTGCGATCTCCATGCAAGAAAACGGGTCATTATGTTTTCCGTTTGCAAGTATGTTATTCTTTGTTCTTAAGGTGATATCCTGATTGTGTTGAATGACAAGTAGCTTCTCATTAAAGCGTCTTATAGCAGACTGTTGCTTCATCCACTGCTTCCCCATTGTTCTTTTTGACGGCACTCCTCCTAAGATCCTCCACCATCCCTCTTATCCGACAGGGACAGTCTCCTGCTTTGAGGGATATGTGAACAAACAACTCAGGAAGATTTCAGTGGCAGTCTGCTACATAATTCTCTAGAGATTGTCCAATACGCCAGATTTTGGCGTATTTATCTCATAATCTCGAGATACCAAAGCTTGTTTTCTTGTGATAATGGGACATTTTACAGGAAACAAAAACAATAGGTTTGGTCACTGTGATAGACCAGACCAAACCTTACACTAATGAGGCGCGTTAAACTAGTTTCTATGTTTGTTTTGTGCTTTTGCAACTCTGCAGATTTAAGATAAGTAAGTTCACAATTGAGAAAACAACTGGAAATAACTTATTATCACAAGAAAAGAGAGAAAATATAATGTATATGGATTATGGGCTTCAGTACTTCTTTATGTAAATGCTATGAGATAACTTTTGTTGTGATTCAGTACCATACCTAATAAAGTTTTATCCAAATGTTAATGTATTTTCTGAACATTTTTAAAGGGTAGATTCTTTTGTTTACACATTTTCTTGTACTAGTGTTCTGAATGTCGTTGACCTTATAAGGTAAGGATCTCCACACAAAAACAGCAGGATTGCTAAGATGTTTATCTTTGTGCTTTGGGTAATGCTTATTTCAACATGCTAACATGTTAGCACCTCCATACACTGAAGATGGAGATGACTTTGGTGCCTCTTGTCTGATGTAGGATAATTAGTGGTATAATTTTCCAAAAGCTGGTCTTTAAAGTTTCTAATGAAGACATAGTGGCGAATGGAAAGAAAGATGTTTGGGGTCTCTGTTGCCCACAGGTCTGTGTAATGAAGGGAATGCATTAGTGGGGAAGTTCAGTGCAGATGGTTTGGGGGGGGGGGGGCTCCTGGATTTTAGAGGCCCTTAAAATGCTGTGTATGTGTGGGGGTCTTTCTTCCACACAGGATCACCACTGAAAAATGAACAACTCAAGTGAAATAGGAGCCTGGATTAGAGGAAAATTGCAACCCAAGCAATATAATCCCTATATGTTTTTTTTTATCCATAAACCATGGCAGAGTCATTACCTCTTGGACTTTTTATAAGACATTTGAAAAAGAGTAGAAGATCGAGTGAGCGAGTGGAAAACTGCAGTCGTAGTGTTAGATCATTCCTGATGTCAAGAGTGACAGTGATCAAATCAGGGCTGCACCAAAGGAGACAAATATGCAATGTGCCATAAAATGTTGCAAAAACTATATAAATTTTGATTAATAAATAAAAAAATTAAGAGTGCAAATTAGCTATAATTGACAGTTTCTGTCTGTCCGGTCTACTGTATGTTTTCCAAAATACCTGTGCTTGCAAAAGGTCCCTTTTTTCATCCAAAATGAATTTAAAAACTTAAAACTTTAAATTTAATCTCCACTAAATTGGCACTAATTAATCCAAGAGTGGCTGATAGCTAGCTTTAGTATCATCTGACTGCATCCAAATGTTATACACAGGCATCTGTGCAACTAGTCAAATGTGCACATATGCTAAGTGAGAAAGCATTGCCTGTCTGAAAATAAAAGTGTTTTTTTTTATTTATTGTGATAAATTCAGACTTTTGGGATGTGTTAGTGCAAATGCTCATATTAATATAATGATAAATTATATATATATATATATATATATTATATATATTTCAATTAGCTCTAAAAACAATGTGCAAACTAACAAAAGAGAGAAGACAAGTGTTAATATTGGTGGTTATTTTGATCAAAGCTGTTTGAGCAACAAGTGAGTAAACTTGAATTTTGGAACGTCTTGTGAAAAGTGTTCACAGAAGTGTGCATTGAAATAAATGGGACAACAAGTGGAAAGTTCTACCTGTGCAGATTTAAAAAAAAAAAAAATGGGAAGAGGAAGAAGAAAACAAAATCTAGACATACTGTCCAGTTTAGTAGAAACATATGTGTGATTTAACATTTAATATGCAAATAAGTCAAACATGATCTACTTTATGATCAGTACTTGCTTTACTTGATGGACTGTTCGTGATGCTGTTACTCCACCTGGTGATAAGGACTTACAAAGTTTCAGTTTCTTCCCCCTTTTTGTGGCATTATGGACAACTTCTTTCATTGGAATAAACCAAATGTGATTTGTTGACACAGCTTTATTTCTTATACAGTAGAGAAAAGATTATAATTTATTTAGAGAAAAAGCTTAATGAAAAAAGTTTTGCCAGCTTTAAGAAAGTATTTAAACTAAGGTAGGCTCGATAAATCCACTAAAGCGACAATAAAAGGAAACGTTTTGCCTTTGCTTAATTGTTTATTCCCTACTTCATTCCCACTGTCATGTGCACTCCTGAAGATATCATGTTATTATGGGGATGGGTATAATAAAGTTCAAAGACATATCAATAGACCGTGATCTCACCTGGACGATCTGCCGGGGCTGCACGGACAGTGTGGGGAAGTTTCCTCGGCCGTGGATCGGGACGCTCTCGCCCAGGATGGAGTCCAAACGCTGCACCTGATCCCAAGACAGCACGCTGACCCGCCGACTCTGCTCCGAGCTGTCACCGGAGGACATGACGACCGGACTCAACGATGATGTCCAATGAAGGCAAAGAAGACCTGCTGTAGCACCGCGATCCTTCCAGAAGAAGATGAAGATGATGATGAAGAAAGATGATGTTGTCTGGATGAGTGTGAATGAAATGAGAATGAACAGGAAACAAAACAAAAAAACAGCAGTCTCCTCGTCAGGGGAAAAAGTTTCAAAAACCTCCAAAATGCAGCAAAGTGATGTTAAAAGTTTTGGAGGAAGTCTTTCATCTCCAACGCACAAACTTCTGGTCCTTGTTCTGCCTCTACTCTCTGCCTGTCTGCACGCACTCTGTCTTCAGATTAAAGCCGCCTCCGGACTCTCACCAGCTTTTTACCGAGCTGGGATTAAAAGCAGCCTCCCTATTGGCTGGAGAGAGATTTGTGAACGCTCTGACATACAGAAGACTACAATCAGCGTACACACAGACGCACACATTTTCTAACACGAACACACCTCCTTCCAGTGCGTCAGATGACAGGTTCAAGGACTGTAGGAAATATAATAATTACTAGTTAGGGGCATTTAGAGGACTCGGTTCCTTTGTTGTGTCCAAGTTGCATACCAAAAGTGCTGCTTGATGTCTGTGATTTATTGAATCGCTTTAAAGCAAGCCACAAGGAGGCTACTGTGTGTCTATTTACAGAAACAAACATGAGCTGGTAGAAGTTACCCAGATTCAAAACAAATGATGTACTATTAACAGCTGTTCTTTTGTTTATTTGTTCTTTGTTGTTGTTGTTGTTGTTGTTTGTTTGTATGGTGTTTTTGTTTATTGGGAGTGTCCCAACTGTCCTTTTTCTATCTTTAAGAAAAAGCCAGAAAAAGATCCAGCTCTTTAATGAACACACACATGATGATGATGATGATGATATTTCGGATGGCTTCGATGCTGACTGGAACTCTCAAGGACGGCTGTCGATGTTGTTGTTGATGACGATATACTATTAACAAGAATGTTATAAAAAGTGCTCTGCCTCTGCACTTCCTGTCAGCACCTGTGTGTCTGACCAGACTTTTAATCTGTTCGTACATTCCTCTTCTCTAGATCTGGATGCTTGTGCTGTTCTTACTCTCTGATGTCCGTCACTTTGGATAAAAGCGTCGGATAAATGAATTGTAGAACTGTTCAATAAACACCCCATGAAAACTGTCGAAGTAAGACAATATCACGCTTCAACATTCTCTAGAGAGAGATGTGAAGATATATGATTAAAATAAGAAACAGCTGGAAAGAGAAGCTAAAAAAAAGACTATAGTCATTAAAGGTGCACTTTGAAGTTTTGGTAGAGAAATGTGAAAGTCAGAGAAGTGGACAGATTCTATTTGTTCATAACTCTATACACAAACTGTCCTCAGAGGAAAACTTGGTCCCTGTGACACTGTTTGAAGATAAAATGCAAGTTATGATAGAGGGGCTCGCAACGGTGCAATCGTAACTCTCCTGTTAACTTTTTAACTCTAAAAAGTGTTCAAGGACTCATTTATTTCTTTCAGTAAAGTTTGTGTTTTTAATTTAGAAAATATAGCAGAGCATTGTTTCACTTCTCCAACTTTCAAATTTCACCACCAAATCTACATAGTGCACCTTTAAAGGAGTTTTTTAACATCTGAATATCAGCTTATCTGATTCTCCTGCACTGACTGCATTGAATTGCGAGTGAACAAAATGCACAAATGATCCAAACCAAACAGCAGAAGTTCTAAGTTATACAAAATGAAAGTTGGTTGAAAATGATTTCAGGGACTTTTCATTGAAGAGAGAACTTTAGAGACTGTCCTCTGGTGAATACCTACATGCGATTCATTTTTGTGCATCCAGTCGGGTCAGAGTAAGGCAACGAAACTTCTTAAAGTTAAGGAAAAGATTGTGGTTTGTGATAAAATATGTGTTATGTTCAGTAAAAGACATACTTTAACCTTATGTAATTGGTGCTTTGTCATGATATTATGCAAGTACCTTTCATTGGGTGTGACATGGGAGTGGAGCTACTTTATCAATGAGGTAAATCTTATGTCAGACTGATGCATATCATGTGACTTCGCTTCGCTTAACAGAATCAGGATCGGCTCTATTGACCAAGTGTGTTTACACAAACAAGCAATTGAACTCTGGTTAACTTTGCTCTCTATGTCCAAGCATTAAAAGTTACATTAAAATTAGTCTGCATCATACAGTGGTGCAGAGGTGACGAGGGAAAATGTGCAGAAATAAATGTGTAATTATTTTTTTACTAATTTATCTAAAAAAGTCACATCCTTAACTGTAAATACTAATAAATAATATTTGATGTTCTCTACTGTGTATTAGTGTATACGTGAGGGCTTCCTCTGCTGTTTGTAGTCAGCAGGCATTTCAAATAACCTTTGATAATAACCTTTATTTTAAAGAGCACTTTCTTAACAAAGTGCATCACAAACAGCTTAAAATACGTTAAAACCCAAAAAACAAAAAACATAATGACCATGTTTTAACAGAAAAATAGAATAAAAATGCACACAGAAATAAATGCCTTTGGGAGAGTCGGTAGACAAGTTGTTAGTGTGCAAACTCCATATACAGAGGCTAGTCCTCGGGGCAGATGACACCTTTCCTGTATGTCATTTCTGACTCTATCCACTGTCCTATCTCTAAATAAAGGCATAAAAAGCCCAAAAATGAATCTTAAAAAAAAGAAAGAAATGAATGCCGTTTTCTAAAAGAATGTTTAATGCAAAGATTTAAAAGCGGAGACAGTTTTACTACGCTAGATTTCAGCAGGTAGGTAATTCCAGAGTTTTGGGAGCCAGGATAGCAAAAACCAGATAGCTCCTCAAACGGCTCTGAGTGCAACCTGTAAACCCCAATCAGCTAATTTGTGGGGGCGCCCGGGCTCATAGTGGGTAAAAAGGTTAATAATATTCAAAGATTTATTTTTTGGACAATGACTTTCACAATGGAGACTCATATATTTCTGGGCACTGTGGCTGATCAATGTTTTTAAAAAAGAATTCATAACAGGCCAGATCAGATTTGAATACCAATGAGACACGCTCACGTCAGGCAGATCATCGTCATCATGAGACGTCAGAGTGAAAGTTGCATAAGAATTTGTTTGCCTCTCTGATGTAAGTCCAAAGGGAGAGCAAGCAAGCAAAAAGGACACTCCAGAGCTGAACAACATGTTAAACAAGTTCCATGTTGTATGTTTTGCACCATTCAGCTGACAGTAACACACCCCCATACACACACACACACACACACACACACAAACAAGCACACGTCTCATATAAGCATATATGTTCTTTCAATCCAAATTACTCTGCAGCCTCTCTCATTTTAAAATTCCAAGATGTGTTATCAAAGGGTAAAGACCAAAATGTAAAATGCCTCTGGATGACAATCAGAATGCACCATGTTAACATTTATTTATTCTGTTTTATTAGATTTATTATATATCGTCTCATTCTTAACTCCACCAGGACTAACTAGCAAAATAATCTAATAATCTAATAATATCCTCTTGGGTGGAGTGAGCTAGACATCAACCTTCATCAACAAATTACAGCTGTACCTGTGGTTGTCTTGCCAACTCCATGTCTTGCACTTCCTGTTGTCCTGGGTCGAGACTATGTTTGTATTTTGGGTTTACAGTTTGATGTGTCAGAGAACACCTTCCCCAAGGATCGAACCTCCAACCCTCCGATTGAGAGATGACTGACTGTACCACTGAGCCACAGCTGCCCTACAGTATTTTCAACTGAGAGAGCTGTGAGCAGTGATGCTGAGGGATTTTTTGTGCTTTTGATGTTAAGCACTGAAAACGGTGAACTGCATTGGTTTTAATCAGAAAACATGGCGCTATCAGTGCACAAATTACCGTCAGTGAACACAACCCTACATGGTGCATTTACGTGTATGAGAAGTGCTGTACAAATGATGTCTGATTTATTTATCAAATATGCTCTTGCACAGAGGTTTGACTTCATTTCACAACTGAGCGTGAAAACACAAACATTAAAAGAACATATCAGACTGTGACTATCCTTCTGAGAAAATGTGTGTACTCTCACCTGTTTTTGTTCTTCTGTATATTTTTACAACCTAACAACAGTAACTATAGCGCTTATGTAAGTCCATAGGGTCCGCTTTGCCTCTTCTTTTGTGAGTACAGAAACTTTCCACCAGGAAGGACAGAATGTCTCAAGCACACACATACAAACACAGACAATAAATATTGTACAATAACGGTGCTGACTGATGAAACCGTGACATTTTGAGCCATGCTGCCTTTTGTTTAATTTGATGAATGATCTTGACAGATAGATTTTTAGCTATTAACACCTTTAGGTTTAGGTAGACTACATGACATGCCTGTTATAATCAGGACGTATTAGTAAGAATAACAAGTTAGTTGAACACAACAGAACAATCCATCACCCGGGCTTGCGATTCAGTCATGTGACAGTTCTGCTGTGAGAATGATTTAGTGTAGTGTTGAAGAGACACTATTTTCTCACACAGCTGTCACAGCTGTGTTACGTCACAGTCGTTCCTAGAAGTCATTTCATTCCTGACCCTCTGCCACTTACAGCCACTACCTCTCTCTAATAATAAAAATAATAAAAGCCGAGTGGAAAGTATCAGGAAACCTCACCACAACCTAATATGATAACACAAGTAAATATATTGTTTACTCCAGATGCTGTTCCACAAAAATGTGTTATATGGAGGCTGCACTTGATTTGTGGCATGTGACCTCCGACTTTATGGTTATGCAGCAGCACTAAATCAGCCTCATTTCAAAACCCTGAAGTGGATGATTGTGTGGCGGCCGATAGTGCTTCAAACACGAGCATTGACTGAAAACATATGACACACACGGTTAGTTAAACAGAAGCAGTGGCAATTCTGGAGTCTGTTGGCGCCCTATTGGCAAAAATATGCTCATCACCAAATGTGTTATAAATAATCTGACACCAACAAAAAAACATTCAAAATATACCTACAGTATAAAGACCTTAAAAATCT